AGCTAGATGGCCGCTTGTTTATCTTCAAGCCTTTAAGACCCCAGATGCTATATCTTTTGATAGCCAGGCACCATCAGCTTTCTTCACAGCATTTGCTTATGCACACGTTTGTCTTCAGTGATCATGTCCGGAAGGTGGGCACCCACTGATATGATTTTTTGTTCTTTGATGCCTGATAACTGGTCCCTTCTACACCTCGTGGTCAGACAGGCTGGTGTGCTTCTTCCATGTGGGCTTTGATGCCTCTCAGCTAAATGGCCGCTTGTCTATCTTCAAGCCTTTAAGACCCCAGATGCTATATCTTTTGATAGCCAGGCACCATCAGCTTTCTTTACCACATTTGCTTATGCACATATTTTTCTTCAGCGATTGTGTCAGGAAGGTGTGCATCATGAAATGCCATTGTTTAGTTTTTAATCGAAGTTGGATGTACTACGTAGTTCATCCTCTGCCAGACAGAAGGCGTTAGGACTAAACATTTGGGGGAGGGGGGCAACTTGTCATCTAACAGTTTCATGAGAAGGGCCCAAACTCAGAGAATTGATTTCCTTTGAAAACATCTTTGCTTGTGTGTTCATGTGTTGGGGAGGGGAGGGGTTTACATTTTCTTGGAACTACATTCAACTAATACTTTGCTTTAAATTTGCCTTCAATTATATTTACTCTCCTGTATCAATTTTATACTTGCATAATTGTGGATGTTCATTTTTCCTTTTAGTGAGTTTTCTCTTACTTAAAGCCAAACAAAAATCTCTACAGAATTATTGTGTCTATCTCTTTTTGTATCCTAATGAAAGCAATTATAAAATATAGTCCCAGATACCAATTTCTGAGGGAAAACTTCACTGATAAAGTCCAGCATACTGTTTTTACTGGAGTGCTTCAAGAAGAGAAGATATTTGAAAAATTAACCCTGATAGTTATTAGTTAGTAATTCTCAGTTATAATTAATTATTGATGCATTCCTTAGATTAGAGTTTCACAGACATACTTTCTTTTTATTATCATTATTAATTTTATTTTATTGGGGGCTCTTACAGCTCTTTTTTTAAAATCATTTTATTAGGGGCACATAAAACTCATTACAATCCATACATACTTCAATTGTGTAAAGCACATTTGTACATTCATTGCCCTCATCATTCTCAAAACATTTGCTCTCCACTTAAGCCCCTGGCATCAGCTCCTCATTTTCCCTCCCTTCTCCCACTCCCTCATGAACCCTTGATCATTGATTGCAGACATACTTTCATTTGAGACAAATGCACATACATTTGTTTGTTTGTTTTTAAATCAAAGAGTCTTTAAATTCAAAACCTATAAGGTCATTTCTCAAACTCCCTGAAATACAGACGTTGTTATTGTTGTTGGGGGGGGGTGCATCTTTTTTTTTTGTTCCTGTGTAAGGGGGTTCGGTTTACCCTCACCCTACATTTTTGCCCTGGGCTTCCTTGATCTTATTCTTTTTCTGAAGACGTAGATGTCCCCTGAATTATAAAACCACAAATTATAAGTATATCTAAGACTGCCCTTGTAATGTCCCTGGGAGGAAAGAGAGGATGGACGTGTGGAAATGTGCAATGTGCTGGAAATTCAATCCAGCTGATCGCAATCGTTGATAGCATAGCAAGGGCCTCTTATCAGAGGCATTGACTTTAGCTATGTCCCATTAATATGCTTCTGACAGCTGGGGAGGTATCTTCACTGTACAGACACATCATGAAAACAAAAAAAAACCCTATGTCAGCTGTTACCATTTCAGTGTGACTGTTGTCTTACTTCCTAATGCTGAAGTAATTTGCCAGATTCTCTCTCTCTCTCTCTCTCTTTCTCTCTCTCTCCTTTCAGAATGCCTATAAGAGGCACTCTTACTTTCGCCTATAAATAACAGATCAGAGATGCTGTAAGCAGCTCCCAACATACATAACCAATTGGTGTATGTCACTGCTTCTGGTTAGCTGCAAGACCAAATTAGTCTTGCTGGAAGCGTTCCTTACAGAGGCGTGCTATTCGCCAGGTTAGCTGGCCGTTTCTTTGCAAGTAAAATGCACTCTTTTGGTTTATGTGTTTCATGTTTGTCTTCATCGGTGCAGACTAGCCTGAAGCTACTAACTTCAGAAAAGGACACTGTCGTTGTCTCCCACAGGACTAGTAAAGATTAGCCAGAAAAACCAATTGGTTGTGTGGTATCAGCCTAGATAGGAGGGGGAGATGCTAAATAAGATGCATTCTAATGCTAGGCATAATGCTGTGGATGCCCATGAACCTTTTAAAATTCAAAATGTAATGGGCTTTTTCACCCCCAGGGCTCAAGGTACGATCTGTTATCTGCACGTGTTCATGTATGTCTTAACAACACGTTCTTGTGGCAGTCACTGCAGATGCAAACAACAGCTCGGTGGGATGCATTACATATCACAGCACTTCCAAACTAGACCACTACTCATATTGCAACAAAATATTAGTATTCCACCATCCTTAACCCTTTAAAAACTAAAACTATACCGATGAGGGCTCTAAGGCATTTAAATCTATGACAACAAGCATAGCAGGGTTTTTTCCACATACAGAACATCCATGTGGATAGCAGAACTCCACTTAGTGCACCCGTGACTGCATATCCATTTTGGCATTGTAAGATGCATTCTAAAATACGTGCAAAAGCCTCATTAGTGCTTTGCTGAATTAAACATCTTTTCTCTTCTCAGATCCTTCATTATAGTCTTATGTCCCCATTTATACCATTATTTGTAAACCACTCAGCTCTAATTTTTGTGTAATTTAGACAAGGGCCATATTACTTTGTACCTTTATTTAAATGATGTCAAATAGTCATAAGATGGGAGAAAGACATTCCCTAACAGGATTGCGCTGGTATTAAGTAAATAAGTGAGGAAGAGGTGTGCTTGGTTTTGCTACATGTTATAAATCCTTGCCTCCTACAGATTTAGAGAATTTTCTGAAAGGAGAAGTCTCAGAGGAAGACAGTGCCAGGCTCTGATTTGACTATCTGGGTACAAAAATAAAACCATTAACAAAATTAACGAGACCATATACCTTCATTATGCAGTAGAAAGAAATGGCCATTTTAATATGGGCATTTTAATTTAAATTATGGGTACTCTCTTCACCTAGTGTTACATAGTCTGGAAAAAAAAACCATATGCTAATTAAAAAGCATCAAATACTGTCCCATTAAAATAGTGCTTTGGTGATGAAATAGCATAAAATACTACAATAATTACATAAATTGTTATCATCTTATTAAGTTCTGCAAAACGTTATAATTTCAACTTCCTTAATTGAATAGTACTGTTCTAAATGCTACTTTGATGCTAATAAGAACCTTGCATATATTGCCTTCCTGTTGGAAAGATTTCTCTAAATGACTTGGAAAGTAACACCTTCCAGAATGTTCCCTCCAAGGACCACTTCCTGTCTCACCTGGGTTTGGTTTCTTCCTTACCTTTTAAATGAAGTGTGACATCAAACCCTGATTCCCTTGGGAAACTCGTAGTGGGAGGGTGATTCAAAGAAGAACAGGTACAGAATCCTGAATGAAGTATCTACAAACAC